AACAGAGAACTAAGAGTAGATGGGGCAGGCAGGCGTCTCCTTACCATGGTACAGAACAGGTCTTTTCATAACAACAAGGCAGGTTTAGTCTTGTTAGAAGGAACGAAGTTTTAATCTTACAAACTTGGGCTTAATTTATTTAGCATGGGAAAGTTAGAAGCTTTTTCTTTCTCTCTGCAATAAAGACTGGAGCTCATTTTTCATCCAGAATAAGTGAGTTCTTTCTGCATTGGTGCTTGATCTTTTGCTCCACGTGCATGTGGATGTGTGTGGGTAAGTATAGAATTATGAAAATGTATGCGAGCAGAGTCCAACTGGTTTGAATGGAAATGTATAAATATGCGTGCCTGAATCTGTATATGAATTTATGTGTTTATTCATATTTGCTTATGTAAAAGTTTTTCCTTGTGTGAGCATTGTTCTCTTCTTTTATTTCAATAGAAGTTTATTTCTTCAAAGACAAGAGAGAACATTTTTCCCTTGCTCCACTTAGGATCTTTCTGCTTTTCCCCTTTATCTTAAAGAACTTTCATAGTTAATTTTTTATTTCTATTTTCATTTTTAATTTTAATTGGTTATTTTATTTATTTACATTTCAAATGTTGTCCCCCTTCCTGATATCCCATCTGCAAACCTCCTATAATTTTTTACAACTTAGAAATAAACATTATAATCACTTTTATTTCTTTTGTTTTTGGGGATTTTTTTGTTTTTGTTTTTATATTTTTATTAATTATTCCATTTGTTTACATCTCAAATTATATCGCACTTTTCAGTTAACCCTCTGCCACCCACGCATGCTAAATCTGCCCTCCCCATTCCCTTTTACCTGTATGAGAGTGCTCCCACACACACACACACTCTCTCCCACCACACTGTTCCAGCATCCACCTACTCTGGGGCATCAAACCACCCCAGGACCAAGGTCTTCCTATTTCCTTGCTGTTGGACCAGGCCATCCTCTGTTACATATGTATCTGGAGCCAAAGATCCCATTAGGTACACTCCTTGGTTGGTGGTCTAGTCTCTGGGAGAACTGGGTGGTCAGGCCAGCCTATGTTGTTCCTCCAATGGAGTTGAAATCCCCCTCAACTCTTCCAGTCCTTCTGCCTGCTCCCCAACCAGGTTTCCTGAGTTAAGTCCGATGATTGGCTCCACTTTTCTTTTTCTTTCTTTCTTTTTAAAATTTATTGTTATTTATTTTTTAAATCAAATCGTAATTTTTACTTATTCACACAGGGGTTATAAACACAAAAAGACAGGCGTCCGTTTTTCTTCCTGCAACTTTTCCTAGCAGGCTGAAAGTTAAATCCAACAGTTAGTTCCAGCTGAGATAGAACCAAGGCCACACTACTTAATTCCCCACCAATACAGATGTTAGGCTACAAGTGTTAATTGTCAAAGACAGCACATTTTTACCCTCAGAAAGAGCAAGACAGTTTTTAGAACTTTTCAGACGTTATCATCAGCATTTCAGTACAGTTGGGGAGTTAGAACTTCTGGAGACCCTCAGTGTTTTAAGCCACACCAGAGTCCTACTCTGTGCCCTCCCCAAGCCAGGATGCTCCTGGCACTAAGAGGCAAAGCAAGAAATTTATGTTAGAGAAAATTCCCAGTCACCAACTTCTGTGGACCAAGGCCCACAGCCTAGAAGGTTTACTTGTTCTAAACAGTTTATTTACTGAAGGACAAATTTATCAATGAATTTAACAGTTGGGGGAAACAAAGGCCTCCATGACCTGTGTGCTCTGGAGGTGCCACTACCCGCTCTTCTAATATTGTGCTTCTTAATATTCTACACATTCCTCAATTTTGATGGTTTCAATCAGGATCAACAGTCTTTTTGTTTTGTTTTGTTTTGTTTTGTTTTGTTTTGTTTTGTTTTGTTTTGTTTTTCCAGACAGGGTTTCTCTGTGTAGCCCTGGCTGTCCTGGAACTCACTCTGTAGAGCAGGCTGGCCTCGAACTCAGAAGTCCACCTGCCTCTGCCTCCCAAGTGCTGGGATTAAAGGCGTGCGCCACCACTGCCCGGCAGGATCAACAGTCTTATGCGTTGTTTCTCCAAGGGGACTTTACCCAACACTAATATGTTTCCAAGGTGTCACCCTAAGTTGATTTCTACCTTCAAATTAAATGTGTAGCATTTTTTATTTCCCTCAAATGAGTAAAGACTTAATGTTACTATAAGAACATTGTTGCTCCCACATATCATTTAAGATTTTATAAAAATCTAGAAAAATTTTACAGATCACCAAACTTATCCATTATCAGTTACGTTTTATTTTTGTAAAAACAATCAATTTTGAATTTTTAGTAAAATATAAACATACTACATGAATAGACAGAAAGCTGTGCATCCCAAAACTATTCAAAATAAATGTGATCTCCATATTATACTCATTCCTCCTAAGTCTCAGAGAAGGTTATGAAAACGTCAAAGATTGGAATTGGAACTTAGGAATAGGCATGGACAAAACAATGTCTTGTGGACATAAAATTCTAAAAAGTATATGATTAAAATGACAAATGGAAATGGCACCATAAAGTACCATAGTAAGTAGTAACTAATTTGGGGGAACATTGTACAAAAGTGAAGAATTTAAAAGAAGAAATGATTGAGAATCTCATAGAATCATTTAATAAGCATAAGAAATGGGAAAATGACACTCATGTAAAATAAACTGGGAAGTCATTTTTTTATTCTGTAAGACTTCCTGGGCTGGAGAGATGGCTCAGTGGTTAAGAGCACTGTCTGCACTTCCAGAGGTCCTGAGTTCAAATCCCAGCAACCACATGGTGGCTCACAACCATCTGTAATGAGATCTGATGCCCTCTTCTGGTGTGTCTGAAGATAGCTACAATATATTCATATATAATAAATAAATAAATCTTTTAAAAAAAGATTTCCTGTGGGTTGTTTGTGTATTAATACTTCAGTTTAAATGACTTCTCCTATGAGAGGGTGGGGCACCCCATTAGGTAATCCCCATTCCTGGAACATCAAGTCCCTACAGGATTAGGTGCTCATCCTCTCCCACTGGGACCAGACAAAGCAGTCCCGTTCGGGAATACATACCACAGTCAAGTCACTTTAGAAATAAAACATCACTGTCAATCCAGAAAGCTAATGTATAATGCTATTTAACAAAAATAATTATAATGGTCCACTACTATTACACAACATTGTGGTGATTGTGATAATAGAGACGTAGATAAGTGCAATAAAATCAAGAAGTGACAAACACACATACACACACACAATATTAAGTATTCAAACTCTGACCATAGAGTAATTTAAATTAGGGTCGTTGCTGTGATGATGGAATGCATTCAAACAATGGCACTTTTAAGGGCTTGAAATATATGAGTTTTGTAAACTGAAGATGGAGGATTGTTTAAAAGATGTAAAATAAAATTGGCACCTCTGTGTTATGGAAGTCACTGAATAAACAGAAACTTTAGTTTCATTCAGTTTCACTGTGAGTTCCAGTCTGTGTCTATCACTCATCAATAGATTTAAGCATAAAGTCTGAAAATGACAGCCAGGAATGCAGTTGTTGAATATTCCCAGGAAAATAGTGTGCTAGGAACCTAATTAAGTACCACATTAGAATAAAACAAAATAAGAAGACTTGGCCTCAAGAGAATTATATCCCAAAAGTACCAGTTGACTATAAATGTGATCATTTTGTTTGTTTTGACATTGCAATTAAAGAAGGAAAACTCACTGAGCTCAGGTAGGTTTATGGATGGCTACTTGGTCAAAAGTAAAAGAAAAATAACATTTAATATTTTTGGAACATGAGTAATACAGTAAATATTTGGATTAACTGGCTTATCTAGATACATAAGCCCTGCCACTTAATGATCAGAGGCATAGCTTTGATAGATATTTATGAATTTGCGTGGATTAATTTGCTTATATAAAATTTGTAAAGGTATATAATATGTTTATATCTGTTAAGACACATAAATGTACATTTTTACATTTTATTAATAAACAATTTCCTTTTTAAAGCTATCCACTCATAATGTGGTGTGGCCACCAATAATTTCTTATGATTTCATTTAAAAAGTAATAAAAGTTCAACCTTATGGATACCAATATATAACAACGTACATCTATATAATATCAACCACATTATTTTTGGATTATAAAGCAAAATCTCCATTTTCCTTTCCATGAAACCAGAAAGAAACTCAAACACACCTTATAATGCAAACACACAATTTCACATGTTAAGACAAGAAACAAGCAATGAAACAGACATTTTTTCTGTAGCAATTTCCAGAGAAATAAAAAGCCAATTTGTAATAGAAAAAAAAAGCCAGCAACAGTGTTACTTGCAGTCTGTAGAGCCCAACTCTTTTTTCAGTTCTTCTTTTGTTTCCTGAATATAGTTTAGGATTATATGAATAAACAGTAGTTAATAAGTTATCCACCATTGAAGAGTACTCAATTTTTTAAATAAATCAGTTTCCATTATTTTGGCGAATGCTATAAACCTCACATAATGCCAGAATAAGTCCCATTTCTTATCTGGTAAGTTAGATATGTTTCATAATTAATTTAAGAATAGTATAGCAAATAAAGTTAATATTCTTAAATATAATAACTCTGATTTTGTTGAATATGGAAGAATGTCAGTATGGATTGTCAGTTAATTTGATTTTTTTTCTATTATATTGAACCTGGATAAGCTTCTATTTCATTCACATGTATTTACTAATAGTCAGTGGTAGCGACTTACTCAAATTACAGAGATAATCAATCATATTACACTTCTAAGTCAGTGTGGATTAAATTTCTATCATAGAAATTTTTCTAAGTCCACAGAATGCCCCTTGTCTGGGCTGTTTCCTCATTATAATTCATGTATTTAATAAACTGCCAAAAATGATACTATGCTTTGCCTTATGGTTCACCATCCAGAGAAAAGACAGCCTACCCTAAGACAACATTGATAATTTCTCTAAACTCATTTAGACCAAGAAAAAAGAAAAATGGATAAAGAGAACTGTTCTTCGTTGCCAGAATTCTATCTCTTGGGAATCACTAGTAAGTATGACATGAAGCTAGTTTTATTCATGGTGTTTCTGGTTGTTTATCTCTCCACTCTGCTGGAAAACATAGGAATGATCACATTGATCAGAATGAATCCCCAGCTTCACACACCAATGTACTTCTTCCTCAGCCACCTCTCTTTCTCTGACCTGTGCTATTCCACTGCAGTTGGACCAAGGATGCTGGGAGACCTACTTGCTGAGACACATTCAATTTCCTTTACTGGGTGTTTTCTGCAGCTCTTGTTTGTCTGTGTCTTTATAGATGTTGAATGCATGCTGCTGGCAGTGATGGCCTTTGATAGATATAAGGCCATCAGCAAACCCCTTCTGTATGCTGTGGACATGTCCAGCAAACTGTGCTACCAGTTCTTAACTTTAATTTACCTGGCAAGTACTGTAGATGGTTTAATACATACAACATTGGCATTTAGTTTATGTTTTTGTGGCTCTACACATATCAATCATTTTTTCTGTGATTTACCACCACTATACCTTCTTTCCTGTTCTGACACACAAGCAAATGAGCTTGTTGTATTTACACTTTTTGGATTTATTGAATTGAGCACCATCTCGAGTGTCCTGGTCTCTTATTGTTACATCATCTCATCAGTCTTAAAGATCAGCTCTTCTGGGGGACGCTTCAAAGCTTTCTCTACCTGTGCCTCTCACCTGACTGCAGTTGGAATTTTGCAGGGGACCATGCTCTTCATGTATTTCAGACCAAGTTCTGCCTACTCTCTAGACCAGGATAAAATGACATCAGTCTTTTACCTCCTCATTATCCCCATGATAAACCCTCTGATTTACAGCCTAAGGAATAAGGATGTAAAAGAAGCTCTGATTAGATTCAGAAATAAAAAGTGGTTTTAATGTACATGTTTATAGTTACTAATGGTTGTTGATTATATATCACAGAGTACAAAAGAGTCAGTAGTGTCACACTGATTGTTTACTAAATCATATCTATGCACTAAAACCTAAAACTAAACAACTGTTTTTGACACATTATATATCAAATTATGTTTTAATTTTAAGTAGTAATGGTATCGGATTGGAACAAAATAGGGAAGTACTACAATACGATTTATAGGTTTCAGAATATTTTCTGAAGTCTCTATTAATCTTTGTAAATGGTGACATATATATGACTGCTGTTAGTTTCTGTTTTATGTAGAGGTCAAAAATCTAAACACTAAAGTAGCACTTACCTTCTTCATGCTGACTTTCCACAATGTCCTCTGTAGGAGTAGGTTTAGTAGTACAGATATGTCCTTTGTAACTGGACCTCATAATTTTGTATTTTGATTGGTTGTGGTTTTCTGTAATAGTATCCATTTGTTGCAGAGATTTTAAGAGTCAGAGGACCTACAGTTTTCTTTGAGATTGTGTCTACTATAAACGTCAGAGGCTGACCCCATAATGTCTCACACTGACTAAACATGAGCCTAAAATGGACATCAATAGGCAAGTTACAATTGATCACAGAAAGCCCCCCAAGACCCAGTGCTATAGAAAGAACTGTAGGCATGTAAGGAAGCTGAGATTAGGAGAAATACCTTACCCTAGGAAGAAAATACCAACTGGCTAGCCAATACCAAATGGTCAATATTGAATATATAATACAAGTAATCATAGTGACTGAGCAGGTTGTACTTACACACTTGCATTCACTCACACATTAATGCACATGTACACACACACACACACACACACACACACACATATATATATATATATATATATATATATATATATATATATATATATACACATATATATATATATATATATAATGCATGCCAAGAATACAATAATACAATTTTTGTTTAAAAGGTAACTCATAGGTACTCTGCTTTACCATATATACACAATTTGCCACATATGCACACTCAAATAATCTGTTATATGTGTATATTGCATTAATATTCTGAACAAACTCTGGGATTTGTTTAATGAAAATAAAGCATTACGGCATAGTGGTCCAGGAGAAGCAACTCTCTCTATTAATGCAAGTGATCTTTTGTGCAGCATAATGGATGCCAAGTTTTTAGGTAAAGTACATTATTAGAAGAATATTATACTTCATACAGGAAGTGAAGAGACAATAGGAACTGTCTCCATGGTGGCTGAATTTTTATTATTGGAGGCTTGTCAACTCACAAGTTAATTAAAAGAAAATAGAGAACATATAGACAGTAGGAATGAACCATAAACTCTGATTCTTGAATGTTTAACTATCTTCTTAAAAAGCATCATCAGTTGAGAACCACAAATTCAACACCTGAACCTAGGAGACATTTTATAACCAATGAGCATTTATATTCTGACATTTAGCTTTGTGGCACTTTAGTAAATATAAGAACCCATATTGTTAGTCATTAGAGAAATCACACTTTGATCAGAGTTGAGATGTTCAAAAGCATCATGAATGTTGAAAACAGGAATGTATGAAGATACATACAAACTGCAGGTTGCTTTTATAGTCATTAGTTGGTGTAGTTTACTTTCTTTTGTGGGAGTAGTAGTTTTATAATAAATATTTAGCAACCAATTGGAATTAGGTATTTTGGACTTAGAAATTTCTCTGGAGACAAGACATTTTGTCGAAAACTAGGAGAGCTTTTAACCCTAAGGAATACAAATTATCAATATTAGCCTAAATTTTAGGCAACACAAATGCATTGGTGGCTTCATTTTATGAGTGACAGATTTATTATTACTTAGTTTGGATGGAGCTTCATTACCATCTCTATAGTAGAGAATCAACTTTTTTTATCTACAACACCATTCTCAAACAACTAGAGTGAATCATAAAATAACATTCATGTTATACCAGTTATTAGGATTCTTGCAGTTTTTATGTATGTGTATGTGTTTGCCCACATGTATTTATGAACCTATGTATGAATGTGTAGCCCCAAGGTTGACAGAAGTGAATGTTGGATTCTCTGATGCTTGCATTACAAGTTGTGGTGAGTCACTTAACGTGGGTGCTGGAAACCATCTCCAGTTCTACACAAAAACAGCAACTAGTCTTGTTAGCTGGTCTCTCTTCAGTCTGCTCAGAGTATATTTTGTCACTGTGACAAAATGTTTGGCATTGACAATTCAGAGTTCCTTTATTAGGTAGTTGGGGCATAACTGACATGACTGAACAGTGCCTACAATTCACATCTGAAAACAATGTGACATAGGATGATGCCAAAAGCAGGAAATACTCCATGTATAAACACCAAATTGTACTAATCTTGCCTCCCCATCTACAGCATCCAAAATCGATTAACAGTCTATTCAGCAGTGAAAGCAGTTGTGGATTGAGAAGATGATTTACTCAAGACCTTACAACACAGTTACTTCTGGAAATAACTATGTTTTACAAATGCAGACATCTTTCAATCCTAATGAATTGTATATGTATCACTAAAGAAAAGATTTCCCCGACAACATCATTTGCCTGATTCCATCTGGGCATAGGTGGGAGAAGAGATCCTTAGTCTCATGAAGGTTGGATGCCCCAGGGGTTGGGAATTTGAGGGTGAGGAGGTGGGAGTGTGTGGGGGGGTAGGTAGGGGTACATCCGCAGAGAAGCAGGAGTAGGGGTGAGGGGATAGGGGGTTTCTGGGTGGGTGGGGGACAGGGTAAAGGGGTAACATGAAATGTAAATAAAACATCCAATAAAAAACATAATAAAATAAATTAAAAAAAGAAAAAAAAGATGTTTACAGCGCCATTCTTTCCCCCCAAAAGCAACTGTTGTCTTATTATGAGGGTATTCTTCTTTTTTAATTTAATGATTTTTAATTTTCATTTTTTATTGGATATTTTATTTACATTTCAGATGTTATCCCCTTACTCTATCCACCCCTGCCGAGGAGCCCCCTATCCCATACCCCCTCCTCCTGCCTCCACAAGGATGTGCCCCAACCCACCCTCCTACTCCCACCTCTCCACCCTCCACACCCTCGAATTCCCCCACACACAGCATCCAGCCTTCATGGGACCAAGGATCTCCTCTCCCACCTATGCCCGACAGGGCCAACCTCCCTTGCATATACAGCTGGAGCCATGGGTCCCTCCCTAAGTGCTCCCAGGCTGCTGGTTTAGACCCTGGGAGCTCTGGTTGGTTGGTATTGTTGCTCTATGAGGATGTTCTTGCTCTCACATAACACTTAAGAAGACTCTGAAATCACCTGGAATATTTATGCAAAATTATCCTGAATTATCTCTATCAGTAGTATTTATTTTTGAAAACAGGTTGTTCATATTTAGTTTAATATAAAATAATCATATTAGCACAACACTCTCTGTATTTATAAATGGTTAGTTAACACATTATAAAAAAATACTTATATAAAATAAGATAATTTGTAGTCCTTAATTCCGGCAACCCTTTCTATGACATTTTCCTGAAGTTAGTGTCTAGGAGAATATTGCCTTGTGTATACTGAACACTCACATACAATTCCACTTTTTTACATATCTCAGAATATGTGGGCCACTAGGGTATTTTAATGAAGAAACACTAAATCATTTTATCATAATAAAGAAAAGAATATCATCATTAGAATTGGATGCCTTATTTTCTTATTACAATATCCATTAGGCATTCAGAAATTCCTAGAGAAATTCCAAGTGCATTAGACTATCTTAAAATTTTTGCCAGTAAGTTTCTAGAGTCCTTGTTACTTTTCACATCAAAATTTCTTTCCATATAACTTGCTATTTAAGGAAGCATATATAAGATAATATTTAATAATCAATATGTATAGATATGTTATACATATATGTGTGTCTGTATATATTCATACATATATATTTCACTTGGAAATATAACAATGGTTTCTTGTCAAATTTACAGTTTGTGTTCTCAAAGGAACACTGCTAAAATGAAGGAAAATTCCAAACACACAACTGTAGAATGGATTATAGAGATAAATTTTTGCTGAAAAACATATTGTTATAAGATTAGCATTTTGCACAAAGATTTCAAGCAAGTTGCAAAATAAAACATTCAGCCAATACCAAGGAAGCTGTGGATATTGTAATTTGACAAATATTCGAGATTTGGAAGCATATGAAAAATTTCTTCCACACACTCCCAGTTTATACCTGTGGAAAATAACAGCACACATAAAATGTACATTATTTAATTTTTAAATTAAAGCATTTACATAATACACGTTTGAAAATATAAAATTTTTATGGTCCACTTGAACAATGTGAATAAAAATCTTACTTTCAAGTTCATTTCTACTCTTTGAGAAGTCTACTAATCAAGTGACCTGGAAGTGTTTAGCTTCACAGCTTTAGTGACTCCTCACCCTTTCAGGATTAATAACAAATATCACAGTGGTGAAGTTCATGGAAATGAGGATTGGTGAGTGGTCATACATGGTCAGATAATAGAGATCTCAAAAAAATTCTACAAGTGTAGAGATTACTCAGCCATTAAAGAATTGAAATAAAAATGTCTTTTATGGAGATGAGGGGACATGTAAATAATGAAAACTACCTGACACTGCCTATATATCTATGAAACTTCAGACATGATAGTCCTTGGCTCCAGTGGGGAAACCAAATACTGTTCTTCTACTAAGGGAACATGGCAATACAAATGACATTTGTTATATCCAAAATTCCATGCCTCTCTCAGCCATCTTCAAAGAAGTTTCTTTTCTCTGTAGATGGGAACTAAAATAGACACACACAACTAAACAATTTTAGAGAATGGGAAATTTTTGGAATATTCAGTCCTAAAAAGGATGTCTTTACCAAACTTCTCCCTTTGAAAGCTCAGGAGCTTCTTTAGAAGAGAAACCAGAATTATTGTAAGAGCCATAGTAGATAGCTGAAACACATATGAATTCTTAGACACT